GTCGTTTTCAAAGTCATATCCGGTTCGTTATTCTTAAGTTGTTCGATTTTCTTAGGAAATTCGAAGGGCTTGTGTTACTTGTGTGATTTTAGATTCTTTATTAAGTTAAGGGGTTTAAATCCACATCAGCAGTAATTTTGGGCTATGTACTTCGGCATTACATTCGGAGGCTTTAGCTTGTTTGTATGGACTTCGGTGGGCTTCAGGCGCGGATATTCAGTCACTCGCCATTTTCACTGATTCTTATAATCTTGTTACTCTCCTTAGAGGTGATGGACAGGGTGACATTAATTTACTCTGGATCATTCGCAAAATCAAATTGCTTGGGGCTTCTTTCAGACACTGCAACATTCATAAGGCGGATAGAAGGCAGGTTCACCGAGCTCACCAAATAGCAGCAGAAGCAGCGCAACTTTCAATTTGCTTTTCTATTAATATGTAGTTTGTTTAAACCTTTGTAAAAAAAAATAAATAAATAAATAAATAAATCAAATATTCTTCTTTTCCTCCTAAATAAATACTCCGTAATAAAAAGGAAAATGTTATATATAACCCTTAGAGCTACATATAAGCATTAAATTTATACTTGAAAATCGTAAAAAGTTAAGAAATCATCAAAATATAAACACTAATAACACTGATTTATGCGTGTTTTTGTTATGAATTCTTAATTTTATACGATTTCCAATAGTATATTTAATGCTTATATATAGCCCTTAGGGCTACGTATAACATTACCCATAAAATAATTCAAATAATCATATCCTATTTCTATTTTTAATGTTCCTATTATTGCGTTGTTAGCACGGTAATTTGGCAATTATCTTAATTGTAAAGGCTCAAGGGCCAATAATTGACCCATGGCTTGGTGGGCCAAATAAAAAACCTTGTCAATTTTTTTGTGCCGAACAAATTACTTCCTCCATCCCTTGAAAAAAAAAAGGGATAGAGTTGTCTCTTATGGGCAATTTTCACGGAAATTAATAAATAAATAAATATAGTAAAAGGACATTGAAAAAGTAAATTTATATTGCGTATGCAAAAAAGTAAAGTGAGAAATAAATAAAAGTCATAAAAGTACATGAAAAAAAAACAAAATTTACATGGACAAATTAAATTTGCACAAATATTGTTGCAAATTGGAGAGAATTTTAATATAAAGAATAACATTAATGGTACTTGAAAAAAGCAAATGAAACTAGAGTATTATTTTAGTGCTTAAAATTAGTCATAAGGGACTATCAATAAGAGCAACTTCAATGGTTGTAGCTAGGGAGGTGATTGTAATTTCAATAATTCCCTAGCTACTAGCTTTACCATTGGAGCTAGAAAACTCAATAGCTATTAGCTTGGGAATTAAACTTGCCAAAATAAAATGTTCATTACACCAATTAAGCTATTTCCATGTATTTTCTATCCAACGATTATTACTAAGCTAATAGCTAGTCATTGAAGCAAAAAATAGCTAAATTAATAATTAGATTAAAAGCTTATGTGGCATGGCAAGCTAATTGTCAAATTAGCTTGCCATTAAAGTTGCTCTAAGAGACAATGTGGTCAATAATCGTGACTCGTGATTCGATCCCATGTCTGGTGTATCACTTCAAGTCTCAACACTTGTATAAACACTTGAAAAAAAAAACAAGATTACAGGATACCTCAAGATCTTAGCTTTTATTGATAACTAAACAAAATCGATGGTATTTATATCCTTAATAATGAAAAGAAATCTCCCACTCACTAATAAACTAAAAATCAAGTGTCACTTTGTTAGAAACCCTAAACATATTAGCTAATTTAACATAACATCGAATAACAAATGATAAAATCTACGGTATTTGATCACCACTAAACCTTAACATTATAACCAACTAAGATAGTTAATATCCACCGAGTTTAGATTAATTTTTTGCCATAAAAGCTAATTTAACGAGGTCTTTGGCTCTCGCCATCAAAAGCTAACTTACTACATACTAGTATACACTTGTTACTCTATTTTAAAAAACTTCAACCATTGAAGAGGGAAAAGTATTATATCGAAATTGATTATTCTTAGTTTCTTCTCATGCATAGATCATAACATAGCTCAATTTTGCTTAATAATCTATTTTCAATACACATGATATATGGTTTTTGAACAACTATTAGTGACAATTATTCAAGAAAAAATTGTTTGTCAACAAAGATTTTTCAAGGGGTTTTTTTAAAAGTTTCAATTATTTATGATAACGTTTAAAACTTTCAATGACATTAAAGATGATTTAACAATAGTTACTAATAGAAGATTTTTCTGTCAATATATTTACGAAGATCAAACTTTAGGGAACAAGTGAAAGAAAATTATACTCCCTCCGTTCTATAATATTTAGTCCCATATACTATTTTGAGCATTTTAAAAAGATCTACTCATAATGAATATGTTCCATTTTTAACTTATTTTTTTTTTAGAATTAATTAGTTGTGGATTGATTGCATGACTTTAAGTAAGGAAATCTCTACCTTGAATTATGCATTATGACTTATGCTTTCCCCCCAAAAATAAAAATAATAAAAATAAAATAATAAAAATAAAAAATCATAATCTTAAATAAAGTAAACTAATTATTAATTATTCTGTACTTTAATGTTACATTTCAAATATTTTCTTTTCTTATTTTATATGATTGATTTCATATGAGACTATCATTATGAAACAACGAAGAAAATAATTTCTAGGACAAATCTTCTGAAATACGTGTACGGAGTAGTAGCAAGGAAGTTGATGTACGAAACTAGGATACTAAGACTAGGACACCATTTTATTAATACACACACTAGTATATATTTTTTACAGCTCGTTTGGGTTGGATTCCTTATTAAGCATTCCATATAACTAGATTTACATGCTACTACTTTTTTTTTTTTTTTTCTTAAAGCTGTGTTATTTTGATCACATGTAATAATTGAGTTAAAATTTTGTGAACAAAGGTGGTAAATGACATTTTTCCCTTTGTTTGCAATGAGTTGTTCCAATCCTATATTTCAATGTTAAAGTCTATTGTTTTGATGTATACTTGTTTACTACATATTGGTTGTTTTATACCTCCTCCGTTTTTAAATACTTGTTTCACTTTTCTTTTTCGACCTTTAAATACTTACTTTATTTCCTTATTTGGAAAGCTTTTACCATATTAAATTAATTTCTCTTACCAAGTGGACCCAAAAGATTTCATTTGGATTTTGTCAAAATTATTTTTGTAGTCTTTATAAATAAAAAAAATTAATAAAATAAAAAATAAAATAAAAAAACCAATTACTGTACTATATAATTTTTTATATTTTTTTTTTAATTTTGATTGATAAGTAAAAGAACATACGAAGTATATAGTACCAAGCAAAGTAAGTGCCGTTAAGTATTATGGATGAACATCAAACTCTTCAATTATTGGTTTATATTACTAGAGACGTATAGGTGACTAATTGACTATGTAAGATCATCGACTTTTCTCACTTATTCAGTTATTTGTATGTATTAAAAAAACTCTGAGATTGCATGATAAAAAAATAAAAAAAACAACTCGGGTTTTTTTTTTTAAAAAAAAAAAAAGTAACCCTTATATTATGTAATTGATGTCAAACTATCAATTGATAAAACATACTGATATTATACACTTTTTTTTTTCTTTTTTAGACCCTGATCAAACCTCAAATCCACAAATATCCTCACTTAGTTGAATTCGAACCTACAAGATTTGGGGTTCAAATCTTACTAAGAAAACCAATACCTTATTTTTGAAAATAAAAAATTTGATTGGTATTATCTGCTTATTGGATCTTATACATATATAAGCAGAAAAAAATAACCAAGTGTTAGACTAAACAAGTGGATCTAATTAAAGTTAACATGATTCGTAAATATTGAATAGCGTGGTTTTGTACTCCATAAAACCACATACGTGTATGTATTGGGACTTCTTCCCCTTTTTCATAACTTTTATACTATCAAATCCACAATTCTATTAATTAATCATAATCTCACATTCAAACCCTACATCAATGTTCAATACAATTGCAGACTTAACAATAAAATAATGAAAGTTAAAATCATATGAAAAGTATGCATTATAACACAATTTAGGCTTTACTTTAATGAAATGGACTTGCGAAGAAAGAATATAGGCATATATTTCCTCTGATTTTTTTATAGTTGCAACAGTTTAACGTATACACATTCATGTGTTTCACTTTGATGATTTAAAGTTATGTTAAAATAGTCATGTGAGATCTTATTAGATTCGTCTTAATTCATATTAATTTTAATATCAAATGTTTATATTGATAATTAAAGGTATTAACAATTAAAATCATACATCGGCAAGCATAAAAAGAGAAGTAATGCAACTATAAAAAAAACAGATGAAGTATTTATTAACGAGAAATACTAATGGATATTACAATCACTATAATAGATTAATAATTGATACAACTGCAAACTTTGGGTGTTTAATTCACTTGATTTTCACTCATCCAAATCTCTAATGTTATTAAAACTTATTTTTAGTTGTAATTTGAACTTGGATAACCCATTAACCCTTATCCGAACTTATTTTTTCTTATTCAAACTTATCTAAACTTATTATTCCTAAACGGAACTTATCTGAACTTTTTTGAGCTGAAATGAGTGAAAATAAGGTGAATTGAACAAGCCCTTATCAATCAATTATAAAAGTTGAAATCATATACTGGTATAAACATGCGCTATAACATAATTTCGGCTTACCTTGATAGATTAGACAAGCAAAGAAAGTATATTTTGATCAATAGATAACTTATTCATGATAAGATTGAAAACAAAAAAGAAAACTTCACAATATGGACAAGTGAGGAAAAATAGTTAATGCCTCTGGAGGATGCGAGAATTTTTTTATACTTTCACCTTGTTTGATTCATTTTTATCTATATTATTAACTTACCAATTGTTTCATTTAAGTAAATTACACCCGTTTCCTCACGACATTCACTTACCACGCTAAATTTCATACTTTCTTCCTGCGATTTTCTCTAGGTTACAGTTAACTCCACAAAGTATCAGCCATCTTAATTACGAGTTGCGAACATTAAAGAGAGTCAATGAAAGCTAACTGTCATCTTCATTGGAGATAAAATAAACTAAAGTTCGTAAATTACATTACAAATAATACAACTCCAGCATTTTCTGGCTACTTCAGTGTAAGGAGGCCAGCTCAACCAGATCTTTGAATTCATCGGAAACAAAAGACTTCACCTTGACTTCAGGTCCTTCTGCATCCTTTGATGGAGAGGCGTACTTCACTCCGATCACAGTCACTAGACCTGAAAACCAGTTCGGGAATTAGACAAGATTTTTATAGACGAATGTCTATAATGTGTGAATATAATTAGAATGTATCTGCAAAAATAGGACTGAGACCAGACAGGAACTCTGATCAAACGTGAACAATCAGGCTATATAACAATACTTATAAAGTTGACATCATAAATGAGATACAAAGCTCAGCAGTCAGCATAGGATTCTGGATCTTCACTTGGTGAGAGAAAAAAAAAAAAAAAAAACTGTAAAATTTCAAAAACTCGTTTTAACATTTCTATGTCGATGAGTTTCAACCCTAACTTACGATAGAACTATTCGAAGCAAGAAAATATGCCATTTTGATGAACTTGATTTATCATTTGGTGAAAACAGAAACTTACTCTCATGAACACGTCCATACAAAAACCGTTCACCTCTCCAGTACTCTAATGGTCTCATTCTTATCCTTGTACTACGCCTAACTCCAGCCTCCAACTTCGTACCAGCATCTGCAAAGAGAATAAACACAAATGAGACATAAAAATCAATGCGAATGACAATTCAACAAATTCAATAGCAACAAACAGTTATTGATGAGGCACAAGTACATACAGTATAAGCTGGTTCTACGAAGCTCCTTGGTCTCTTTTCTGATTCCTGGGCGAGCACCTTCCACTTTTCTTCTTTTATTACTAGCTTCTCCAGAAATAGACGCCTCCGATTGAGTTGATTTTGTTTTTGCTTGCTGTCCTTTCTCCGCTGTTCCCTCAGCAACAACTGCTTCAGATGGTACCTCTGATATCTCCTTCTCCTTTAATCTCTTCTTGGAAGATCTCACAGTTTCCTGTTATACAAAAGAAGATAAATTAGGAAACCAATAGAGCAATATGGTCCAAAGTCTACAAACTCACAATCAAAAGCTGAAAAAAGCCTCAATGAGCAGAAGTATTATATAACTGCCATTAACGGGACAGGCCAGTAGGCACATAATCACACATTGAAGACCCCCAGTAGAGAGTCAAATGAAGAAAAAAATAATTAGAAGCAAAAATGACCTCCAGGATCTGGCAGAAGCCTGCAATTCAATAGGTAAAGTACATTTCCTTACAACAGAACAGCAATGGATAAGAGGTGATCCAGCTGATTTAGGTACTTTGGGTGTTTTATTATTTGATAGACCACCACCAACAAACAAAGAAATGCAGCAAACAACAGAAACACAAAATATTACCTGTCATACATGTGGAAGAGCTAATGAAGACTCCTCATCAATACTAACAAATATTTCAGTATTTCACAATAGAAAGCAAATAGCTATTTAACAGTTTGATGAACTGGTTGTCCGCATTTTTATTTTTAAGAAAAAAAGGAATGGAAAACTAAAGAGGGATGAGGGGTCATTGTTCGAAGCATCTATCAGGCCAGTAGTCCAGTACTGATCTGTGTTCAATGATTCAGTATATTCAGTAAGGATTTGGCAAGAGGCCATGTACACTGCCATTTCCATCGGTAAAAGCTGCTAATACTGCCAGTGCAAGTTAGCAGTGATCGGTGTTAGAGATTCTATTATAATGAATTGTTGAGCTGCAAGGGTTTAATTATCAGTCATGAGTGGCTTGCACCCTCTACTATATTATGATTCATGTACATGGAGCTAAAATTCAGAATTCTAAATAGCCCTTCTAGTTTGTACTTTTTACATGCTAGCTCACAATTAAAATAAATTAATAAATAAAAAGTAAAAGTAACAGCTACCTCAGTAGGCTCTTCCACAGCAATGTTCTCTGTATTTAATGGTTCGCCAGTCCCACCTTTTTCAACTGCCACAATTTAGTTTGCTCATCAGAAAATAAGAAAGAAAATGTGAAAGCCTAAAGTTATGACCCAGAATCTGAAACAAACTTTTCTAAGCATGTTCACCATAGAGCAGCACAATACATGGAGGAAGAAGGCCAAAAAAAATTAATAAATAAATAAATAAAAAATGACAAAAATGTAAGCAATTTTACACTATAAACCCGGAAAGCATGTAAAGATAATGAATGGAATCTTCATTAGTACATCACTATTCTAATATAACAATGACATTTTTCAATGACAAAATAGTACTTCGTAATAAATGAATAAACCTTTGCAATGGACATCATTTATCAAGGGCATCACAAAAACAAGTTGTTGAGGAATGTCACTAAGGATGAAAGTCTGACTGATCTGCACAAGTACTACACAAGTTGTCTTTGTAGGCATTATATAGTTTTAACTCTTTCAAATATTCATTCAAGTCCAATGCATTTAAAGGTCTTTCAAGATTCAAGCAATTTCTAAACCAATAAACACCAACTTCCTCAAATTATTCCCAATTAAGGGAAGAGACCTCATATAAAAATAAAAAAGGCAACGAGACTTGTTCCAATATGAATACAAAACCACCTTGAACAGAAAAGAGCTAGCATTTTTGCAAGATTCAAGCATACATTCTGACTGTTGGGAATCAGATCTCAGTCAAGATCAGTAACTATTGGCACCAAAGCACTCTGACATCAGATCACTACTGCTATACACTGATATCAGATCACAAGCCTCATTAGTGGAAAGTACATCAGTTCAGACTTCAAGGTAAGAGAATGAAGCTACAAGTCTCAAGCTGGCTAGATACTTGTCAGCATTTTGCAAATAGCATCTTTTCATAAACATATATAAAGAGGAATCAATCCATGCAATTTACTCCCTCCATCCCAGAAAAGTATGAAACACATCCTTCACCTTCCCGATTTGCCCTTTCAAAGTCATTCAGTGCACAATTAGACAACCAATCACATGAAAGGATGAAATACATACTCCGCATTGCACTCCGAATGTTATCCAGTGCACACAAAGACACAAATAAAAACTTATGCTATACAAACAAAAGCTAATGAATACATGCATCATGCATTACATGATTCCAATATTTAGTTACCTCCATAAGAGCTAGATTTCTCCTCATCAAGGCCCTCGAAGTTGAGTTGTCGTACAGATAACAGGGTTGCATCCACCTGCTTGTTAATAAAGTGTTCCAAATCAAATTTCTAACTTATATGAGCTTAAAAGACCTTATCAAACAAATCATCAAGCTCCAAAGTGAGACTAACCTCATCCTCGTGTCTTTCGGGCTCACTAGTTGGACCTACATCATTAGACGTCAATGCAGGTCTATCCTCATCAGAACCCGCTATGTTTTTTTCTACATGCACTGGAGACCTTCCAGATTCACATGAATCAGTCCTATTACTAATTGGATCACATTGCCCAACAACATCCTCTTTTTCTTTAGGTTCGCTAATGGGATCTACGTCCTTTGCTACAGAGACAAAAGTACCATCACCAGAAACTGCATTGTTTTCTTCTTCATGAGCTGTAGACCTCCTAAATTCATGCGAGATCTCCCTCGCATCAACCTCATCAGATTGGCCAGCCTGATTGACCCTGATATCTGGTTCACTAGTACGATCTGTAGCCTCAGTTGGTGATAAATCAATATGAAGGGGTGAAAATTGGTCCATTGATGGACTACGTCTAGCAATGTGTCTGTTCAACAATGAGATAGATGCCAATGGACTTCTGGATTTTGCAGGAGATACTTGGTCACCAATTCTGGCAGCTTTACTCTTACCAGATAGATGAGCTACTATATCATCCTTCTTTTGCAAAGCTGAGCTTGATGCCAAAGATTCACGCAGCTGAACACGCCAGTCGGGAAAGAAAGCTTTACCAATATCTACATCTTTTATCTGCAATTTGTCTCGGAGAACATTCTCTACTTCATCCTTATATAATCCTTCATAATTAGAAGACAATAGCTCATCAAGCTTACTGACTTTGCTAATTGTCGTAGACTTGGATTCTGTAGAAATGACAAGAGATTATTCATCATCCTAGTTAGAAATAACAATGAAATAATCATAAATCTCAAAGCAGCATTAACAGTTTCATAACAACTTAACAACACCCACCAGGCTCTCTCACACTTGGTGAATTATTGATAACTTTAGCATCTGGAACGACATCATTGTGAGCAGGGCTTCGTATATCATTATCAAATGTTTCTTGAGCAGGCAAAAGGGTCTCATCAACCTCAGCAACTGAAATTGAAGAGCGAAAACGATTTGCATAGGTGGCTGACCTCCTGTAACAGACAAATATAGTTGCATTCATGCATCCCATATTGCATTGATACATAAGTTCACATAAGCACATACAAGAAAAGAACAGAAGTTCTAACCCCAAAAGGCCAGGCCGGCGACGACTAGAAGCCGAAGATATACGATTTTGATCCAAGTCCAAGAGTGGCTCGCCATTTAGTCTTTGCACTTCCTTTTTGGCATCTATAATTCATTCAGCAATAGAATGCACTATGAACTGAAAATCTTATGCAATTGAGAACTTAAATTAATGTCAATTGAAAACAGCAGCTTACTTTCCATCCTTTCAAACGCTGCGAAATATTCCCCTGGATCACTCAGTTTATCTACGTCTATGCTAAAATCCAAAGTCGCAGCAGGCTGACTGCAGTACAAAAGACAATATTAACAAGAGTACATCCCACAGTACAACTTATAATTGCATTACAGGCCAGTGGCAAATCCATGATTTTTTAGGGTGTTGGGTCACTGTCACCTCTCGATCATCACCCATCGACCGCATACCTATCGGTTCACGAGGTGGATGGATTTGGTGATAGAGGATGATTTTGTGGAGGAGGAGGATGCATATTGAGAGTTGAGACTAAAGTAACTTGTTATATCACACATTTTTTATGAAAATTAAGTCACGATTTTAATTTAATTAAACAATCCAATATTGTCAAAAAATAGATTAATTCAATCTTTTTGCAACTTGCCCATTCTACACCCAAGTTAATATTTTATTTTACAAAAATACAAATATCCAAGTTAATTATACAAACATAATATATACAACACAAATTAAAAGAAAAACCACTTAATGTAATGTATTAATAACACAAAACAAAACAACATTGAAGGATAATCAAATTAATCACATGATAATCAAATAATAGCTAATGCTGCTACAGTGAATTAAATGAAAAAAGGAAAAAAAAAATCAATAATCACATGAAAATCAATAAATCACATAACCACAGGAAGGGGGGGAAAAAAAGAAACAAAGAAGGAAACAAAAAGATATAAGGAATACAAAAAAATGCAAGCAGCAATGCTTGAACTCAAGACATGCGCACTTGCTTATTGGTCTTTGTCTCAACCACTCCAACCATTATGCTATAAGTTTGCATTGTTAGGTTATATCAAAAAATAATTTTTAAGAAAAGGACACCCATAAGAGAAAAAAAAAAAAAAAAAAAAAAAAAAAAAAAAAAAAAAAAAAAATCCTCTGGGTCACGTGACCCAGCAGGAACCAAGGCTGGGTCCGCCACTGTTACAGGCATGAATTATCTTGAGGCAATAGAGGGGGGAGGGAGGGGATCACAGCTGCCTAAAAGGAAGTTAAATGCATTTAATTCATCACCTTGGAATAGGTTTTGCAGAAAACTTGGCCCGCTTAAGTCCTAGAGCAAGTCTTCTCTCTCGAGGAACTTTTTGTTTTTCTGTGAGAACAATTTCTTCTAGTATGGTCTTTGTTTGCTTTAACAGCTTGTCAGGACTACTTAATACCTGAAAGCAAAGCAACATCAATATAATAACTTTTTCAGCTTGTACCAAACTACTCATCAGTGATAATAAAATTATAAGGAATACAGATTCTTAAGTCAGCCCGCCATCCAATCTGGAGGGTGCATAACAGTTAATCCAGAGCCTTCCCTTCTAAACATAATACGTCCATACATCTACAATATAGATGTGCTGAAGCATACCATTCCCTTCTATGGCAGCAGATAATCTTATTTGTCCAAGTCAATAGTTGGAAATAGCAGAAGATAAAGAGCACTATACCTCTTCATCTTACAATTTCATACCATAAAAGCGAGATATTATGATATCTATATAATTTAAAATAAGATAAGTAAAAGAGAGAGACAGAGCAGAGCAGGAAACGAGGGAAAAACTATTTGACGACATTGTCAAGTACTCTAGTTCCTTGTTTTTCTAAAGACTGGCAGTCATTTTTAAATTTTCATGACTTTCACTGTCCAGACCATTGATACTGAAATTTTTGCAACAGCACAAAATTTCAACCCATGCAAGGTCACTGCGATAAGCAATAAAGTTTCAAATCTTTCAATATGATGGCCTTACAATGAAACAAATAGGTCATTTTGAAGTCGAAAGATAATAGATCTAATCTAATCCAAACAACGCCGTAACATATCCAGTCAGAAACCTAACAAAAGTGCCATGCCAACTCAATAAACTAACTGTTCAATTGATTTTATTGTCGGAAACATTTCTTTTAATGCACCCAGTTCCCAGCTTATCGTGCCATACCATAGTTCATAAGTTGCGCTTGAAAACTCAAAAGCAGAATCCAATACTACTCAAGTCCACAAAACCTCCCAATTTATATACATTAATCTATATTCAAGTAAGAATAATCCTCATCCAACTTTTTAAACTTCCATAAGAGAAAATCTGTAATAACTAAAATGATTCTCAAACAACCCATAAATGTTCATCTCTGAGCACAAAAAACAACATTATTACAAGAAAATTCAAACAATCCAACTAATTTCAGGCATTTCGAACCCATCAAGCTTCTTTTAATTATAATTCCCTCCAATTCTATGAAACCAAAAATGCAGCCAAATCAAACCCTAAAAACCAAATTTCCCAAACAAAAAAAAAAAAATCACAATCATTAACCATTCAAAACTATTGATAATCACAAAATTAGAATTACAATTGGCAAGTTGGCATTCAGATCCAAACCCAATGACAATAAATTATCAAATTGAAGACATTGAATTGAGTAGCTTACTCTAGCTTTAAGATGAGCGTCCAAAGCGTCGGAAATGGAGAAATTAGGGTTTGAAATAGTGGCAGAAGATGATAATGAAGAAGAATTGAAGCTGCGAGGGAAGAGAGATAAACTGGATTTGTCGACGAGTGGGTCGACTAATTCGAAACCCTCAGTTTCACTACTTACTCCCATGATTTGCGCGCTTAATCTGCGTTGAATTGGGTTCGAATTTAGGGTGATTGAAGTTGAATTCTGGAGAATTTGGGGATGAAATCGACGAACTGTCACTTTCTCTCTCTTCAGGTAAACCCTAGCAGAGTGACACCATATTTTTGGGGAAGTTTCGAAATTTTGAGAAAGGCGGGACGCGGGAGGGTTAGATTTAATCACCAGGTGATAAGGCGGAAGTTTTTCCTGATTTTTTATTCCTTTTTTTATTTTAAGAGTTATGGTCTTATTTTGAATTCGATGGACTTTGACTAAATTTTAACATTATGCGTATAATAAGTGGAGTACTGTGAGTCTGTGAAGTACGAGAATATAATTGTGGCATTATGGGTATATATTGGCTAATTGACCAGATTGGTAAATAAAAAAGGTCCTTTGTGAAAAATTAGTAAAAAAACTTATTTCGGCGACAATTTGGTAAAAAAAAAGAAGCTAACTATATGCAACAATTTGGTAAAAACAATAAACTCCGGCGACATTTAGCCCAAAAATTCTTATTTTTGTTGACAAACTCTTTAAAAATCTTAATTAAATTTGTTTTTTGTGTTTTTAAATTTATTTTTCCCATCTAAGATTTTAAATTACTATTACATCCCCTTTTTATTTTGCTAAATCCCATTACCAAATTTATTTATAACCCCTTTTTAAAAGAATTTCGTTAATAAGGGTTATGTAACTTTTCAACAATTTTTATCTTGAAATTGTTATATCCATTAAAAGGGTTGTAAAAAAACCAAGAAAAACGACGTAAGCGTCTTCTTTTAGGCGCGAAACGACGTAAATTACCCTTAATATTCAGCGACACGTAAGCGTCTTCTTCAATTTGACTGGTTTCTTCTTCAATTCATGTAAAATTTTGTTCTTCAATTGAACGAAAAACTTGACTGGTTTTTTTTACAAGGGCCAGAAAAAACTCTAACAATAGTACACTAACTGGAATTTTGCAACTCCGAATCTAAAAAAATTAAAAATCAAAATCACCAATACAAAACAACCAATCGTCATGGCTCCATGCTTGAATGCTTGACATTACCTATTAACTTGTTGTCCCCTATCTTCTTCATCCTCTTCCACCTTTCCTGCGGCAAAATCAAACGAAAAACCCTAGAAAAATTAGAGAAATTGGGGCATGGTTAACCCTTAACGACAAGGTTTGTCTTCCTTCTCCATTGAAGTTGTTCATGCTTTTCGATTCCTCCATTAAAGGTTTTACAAAGCCATTTTCATGTACTATGTGAGCTTGCTTTTCTGTTTCTCCCTCGTGATAAAGATGAAGACAATTGCAAAAGTGAGCTTAACTCACCCTCAAAGCTGAGTTAAGATAGATGAATGGAGCAATAACGGCGTGAAGTGTTCTTTTTGAAGCCCATGTGCCCAATGTCAAAGCTTTTGCTGAGAAAACAATTGTTTATTGGTCTAGCACGAAAATCAATAGACTTTTATTAGACTACTAGGTTAAATTCCGTGCAATGCACGGATGTTAAATATTTTTAACAATTTTATTATATTTTTAAATATAATCACTTGAGTATTAAAAAATATAGAGTATATTAAAAATAAAAGCATGCAAGAAAAAATATTTTAAAAACATATAATAATTAAATTATAAACTTATAATGGATAGTTTAATCTTTTAGAAAAAAATTTATATTTTATATAAAACAAATTATGTCATAATTTAGATATAATTTTTTTTTTCCTTAAGTAACAATAATTTTTTTAGAAGGTACTTTTGGCGGGAAATTTTTTAATAATACATTGACAAGTGTGTCTTAAGATTCGCTTTTAGTAGTATGTAATTGATTGATTCAACGGATACACAAAAATTGTAGCCATTATAACTACTTTTAATCTCAACCGTTTAAATATTAAAGTTTAATCTTGTCCATTTATTATTTGACTTTACATTAAAACAAAATTAATTAATTTCAAAAGCTACTTTATTTTAGAAAAGAAAAAGTAAAACTGAAAAAAAAAAAAAAAAAAAAAAAACAACAACAACTGCTTGTTGTTGGCTTGCTGCCATTGATACATGAGCCGTTCTAACTTCTAAGTATCCAACTTTCAACCTTCAACTTAATCTACATTAAATAAGTATGGAGATTAAAGTATAACTAAATAATCAATGGAAAACTCCCAACTAAACTTAAAAAAAGGAATCTGATTTTATACATTGGAAAGTTTTTATACTACCTCTGTTACAAGTTATGTGAAACGATTTGACATAAAGCAGAGATTAGTATAACCAAGGTTGATTGTTCCAACTTTAATTTAATCATACAGTTCAAAATTATTTAATTACTGCTCTCCACCACTCTCCCTACTTATTCTTGCACTAATTGATGTAACAAAAGTTCGAACACTTATCCCCAATTCATAATCTATGATCGAAATTCGGCTACAAACCTCACAAATTTTGCTTTCGATTGTTTGTAGAATAGAATGTACCAAAATTTCTCCAAAACTCCCCCAAATTTCCATGAATATCCCTATGAATTTCTCCCAAAAGCCAAGATTATGTTAAGTGGATTCTTTGATTATACATACTTGGCAGAAATTTTTCATGAAAGCTTTCGTATTGTTTTATTTTGCAGAGGAATAATGAAAAGCTGTTTAAGATTTTTTTTTTGGGATATATTTCTAGTCAACTTAAATCAACGGTCCTAATTTACGTAATGATAATCAATGGTGTAGATTTTGTTTTTTACAATAGCTACAATTTTATTGTAGCCATTGCAAAACTGTCCTATATACACTCATTTTATATAAAGAGTTTTATTTTCTCAATAGTTACCCAACATTTGACATTTTTTATAAAGAAAATACAACTTCTATGAAAAAAATTATTTTGGCTAGCCAACTAAAGAGTATCCCAAAACATCATATCTAAAAGTTGATTAAATTCTTATTTATCTCTAGGTAGTATTATGCATGAAGATGTAATAGGTATGGCAATGCCGTACGATCCCCTTGGTTTTTCTTAATTGTTAATTTTCTTTCAGGGCCTAACCTCTCTTGCACCCAAATAAAATGAAAATTATCTTTGGACACTTTACTATACATTTTGGCCATTTTAGTATTATACTCCATAATCTATCATCTCAATACGCTCATTAACAAGATGTGTTTTTAGTACTATATTATTTTACTTTTAACTAAAATGTTTGTAACATTATAAGATGTTGATCAATCTAACATACATGAACCAATAATTTATTGTCAAACTAGTGATCTCGAATGGGTGGCTATTACCGTATTAGGTAAACTTGTTACGTGTCTTATGACTTACAAGTACTAAGATTTTACAGGTTGCACATAAAATCACTTAGAGAGTAACAGGCAGCAGTTAAAGGACCTCATACTGCATAGGCAATTTCGTTGACAGTATGAAGAATGTGAACTTTCATAGTTTCATGTGACTTGAACAAGTCCAACCTAGTTCTCTGCCTGTGAATTTTCATAGATTTTACTGATGAATTACCCATACATGAATTACACCATGCACTAAATAATAACATAACTATTCTCCGATTCAGAATCATAGCTCAGCTGAAAATTAAACTGACTTCTCCCTCTCTGCTAAGTGCAAATCCATTATGTCCCCTCCTTTAACATTGAAGGGGAAGAGGTCCTTGACCAATGCCGTAAAAACCTTCAGGCCTTCAGGGATTTCAATTCAGAATTGCGTTACAGTATCAATAAGAAAACAAGTGCATAACGATACAAGGGAGCTGGATTGTAACAAAAAGTTTCGGCTATCAATAAGAAAACAAGTGCATAACGAAACAAGGGAGCTGGATTGTAACAAAAAGTTTCGGCTCTTGTAATGCCATAGTTAGAAAAGTTAAACTTGTAACTTTCGGAATCAAGCAAGAGATTTGATTAACAGGTTAAAGGCTTTCACATTGCCAATAAGATATTTGCAATGTGATATCTGCAATTCTTTTTACATATGGGCATATAATCTTAATATGCAAACATTGAATGATGGCTCATTTGTACAACCATCATTCAAGAAAACAATTCCCACCGCCTACAGCAAAACTAACACTCAAAAACTGAGGCTACTAACATATCCCAATTCCAGGAAGATCTAAAAATCAAAATTCCCAAGAAAAGAAAAAAACTAAAACCTCAAACAAACTAAATGGATGAAAGATCTTCGTAAATAGTCTTGATACCTGGTCTCTCTGAAACTGAGCGTATACATCGTAAAGCAATTCCAAGGACCTCCTTTGACCCCTTGTCTACTGTAGGATTTCCCATTTCTGTAGTCAAAGCAGAGTCGAAGCAATCAGAGCCCCGTCCTTCAGCAACTCTCAACCGAACCCAGTCTGTCAAATCAACACCTCCCCCTTCACCAGAGACAACTTCGCCAGCACATCTTCCAGTCAACAATTCCAACAATATAACTCCAAAGGCAAAAACATCAGATTTGAAAGACGGTAATGGTTTCTTAGAAGCAGCCAATTCTGGAGCCCGATATCCTAATACACCAGCATCGAGGATTTGTTCAATTGTCCCAGCTTGAGTCATGAGGCGATGAAGACAGTAATCCGCGACTCGTGCATTGAGCTCAGGACCATCCAATAGTATGTTGTTTGCTTTTAGATTACCATGAGGAAGAGCTCGATCAAAATGGAGATAATTCAGACCACGAGCAACATCTACTGCAATCTTTAGTCTCTGTGGCCAAGTTAATGGTGGACCTTTTCTCCCTGGTCGATCTAAAAAATAAAGTAGTCATCAATAATTCAGAAGATAACAGATATTCTATGGACAGCAATTATGAGTTACCATGTACAACTATTGCATAAGCTTGTAGAAGACATCTAAGCACATAGAAGTATTGCATACTTATTCAAGAGAAAAATGTAAGCAGCAATGAATATGAGCATAATTGTAGATTGTAAATCAACCCGAATATACATGATCCATGCAGAATAATAAAATTTTCAAAGGTAGTAGATCTTCATACAGCAAGACCTTATGTATCTCCATCGGACTCAATTACCTGAGCATTTTTTCATCTCATATAGACACCATACACATCACAGAAAGAGAAGGGTCAAATGAGGAAAAAGACGCCAACACATAATCTTATACTACTCCAAATTTACCTTCTTCAAAACCAGAGTCCACTTTACATAAAAGTTTAAGGTAGTCAATCTACTAAACTTATAGAACCCGAGGTCAGGGGATCATATGCAATATACTAAGTAAGACCTGGCAACAAATGCAGTTATGTTCCATTGTAAGAAGAAAGAAAATGCATGCTACAGTAAAGAAAAGGGAGCTAAGATACACAGGTAAAAATCACATGATTATTGAATTTTATTTTATTATTTTTTTTTATATAAATTTATCTAGGGTTCCAGATATTCATTTCTGCCATTCCCCCTTCATTGCTAGGGATTTGAACTCATTTTCAAACAGATACAGATGAGAGCACAAGTTATTACCATAAAGAAAGCTAGCAAGACTTCCAGGTGAAACATAGTCTGAAAGAATGAGCTTCTCATGCTGTGTAGGTCCCCAATAGT